CATTTAGGACTCCAGGTTAAAAAAAAAAAAAAAGGAAATGGGGCATGGTCTTCCTTTTGAAAGAAGAGAATATGACCTGGCTTACTGTCAGCCTGTCAACTTAGGAAAAATGTCTACCTGATTCAGGGTAGAAGTTATGTGTATTATTACTCACTTCTCCCTCTGTCCACATTTTGGAAAAATTCTGTGCCAAAAATATAGGAGATCATGGTACTGAGATGGGAAGGTTATAGAATCCAGCAGATTCTGTCAACAACAGGTCTCCCTGTGCCTTTCTGCCTTCCCCCTCCATCACAGCGTCTGGACACCAAGGTTAAGGACAAATCCTAATTACTTTTTGGGGCCCATCTGTTTAGGGAAATTGACCTCAAATGGAAGCCACCCGACTGCCTGTCCCTTGGCAGACAGGATATGTGAGCCAATGCCTTTGAGAGGCTCTGGACAGAAAGAAATACAATAATGATGCAGAGGGACCTACCCCTGGGTCAAAACAAAACAAAAACCACAAGCTGATTTTCCTAGGCAAATGTTTGACTCCAGCGCCAATATGCTCAAAAGTCTGGTGGACACCCTATGAGTGTGTCCAACTCACAGAGGTCTGTCCCTGTCACACTCAGCAGCCATGTTGGTACAGCCTGGCACCCCTGGCCACAGCTGACTAGATGAGAGGTGGGTCCTCAGGGTGAGCTGGGCCAGTTGGAGTTCCTTCCCTAGGAATCTGAAATTAGGACTAAGAAGGAAACCAAGGAGGTACAACATGGATACAGTGTCTAACATGTTGGATGAGAGGAAAATCTTTCATGAGGCCAGGCTGTGTTCTTGGCCTTGGACCCTGTGAGATATCTTTACACCCTTATACTAAACTTGCCTTTTTTGCATACAGTGGTAAAGTCTCCAAAGATGCCCAACATTAATGCTTTCCTTCTCTGGGGGCCTAGATCATTCTTCCATAAGGAAAAGGGACCTATTTTCCCTCTCAAATAGATGGTGGAGAGGTGATGCCCTACCAGTTCCAGACCCAGCTGCTAAGAATCCTGGCAACTTCCCATCCTTGTTCTCTTGGAACCTAGCTGCCATGTATAGTTTAGGCCAGATTATTGGAAAGGGTGAGATCCCACAGAGAAAATGGGCCACAAAGAAAGCACTAAAGTGCAGATGTGGGAGCAGAGCTTTCATGGCTCTTCCAGTGCAGTCCAGCCAGCTGAGTGACCCAAGTCCAGGCCACAGTGGAGCGGAAAACCCACCCAGCAGAGCCCTGCCCAAATTCTCCACCAACAGGATCGTGAAAAATCATGGTTGATGCTTTGAGTCATGACGTTTTGGGTGGTTGTTACACAGCAATCGATAACTCAAGCAATCTCCCTGGAGTTCATTTCCTTTCCTGCAAAGAGCAGTCAGGGCATATAAAACAAACTCTGCTATCCCACTTAGCACGTCAATAAGGAATGTGGGGGCAAAATGCAGCTGTTCCATGAGTTTCCCTTCTGGCTGTCATCTCTTCCTCCCTAGGATGCTGAAGAGAGCAGAGTTGAGTTGTGGGATGAGTGGTGAGGCACCCCCAGGGCAGAAGCAAAGAAGCGGCAGAAAGAGAAGCAGCTCTACTTTGCTGCTTGCCTGGGGAGCTCCCTGAGGTGGCCAGCTCTGGCCAAACTGCCCCAGGGAGGCAGCGCCTCCTGGGAGGCCTGCAGGTGATTCCTCCCTGGATCTCTCAGAGCCACAGGAGTATGCACACCAGGACTGGCAGATTTGGAGGTACAAATAGGTGAACAAGAACTGGAAGACATCACTAGGCCAGCACACAGAAGGTTCGAACTTCCCGACCCACAGTGTCTCCCTCCACACCAAGCTTTTGAAATTTCCATGTTCTTCAGAGTCTGAGAATGTGGGGCCAGGCCTTCAGGAAAGACACCTAAGAATTAAAAGCAAAATTCTGAAAGTCAGCCAGACAGGAATGTATATCTTGGCTCCATATCACCTTAAGTAAGTGACCTTGGACAAATCACCTCTCTAAGCCTGTTTCCTCATCTGGGATAAAGGACAATAATAGTACATACTTGACAAGGTTGAGAGGAGCAGTTAGCGAGTTAATCCACAGGAAGTTTTAGATTCAGGGCTTGGCACATAGTAAATCCTCAGTAAACGGTACCTAGTATGATGATGATCTTTTATTATGTTTGTTAATGATGATTTCACACTGCTCCCAGATGGCTTTCACTTAGTTAATAGGAAAAAGATTCCATATCACAGAGCTGGTGTGAACCTGGAAGGGTTCTCACAGACATCTTCAATTTTAACAGTTGGATGGAGCTCAGTAGGTCTGAGAGGGCCAGCCAACAGCATGGGACAGGGTCTTCCCTCCATGAGACACACTCAGCTATTATAGAGCCTGAGCAGGAAGGATCCTGAGAATCAGCCTGACCTGCCTCATTAAATGGATAGGGGAGCTGGGGTCCCAAAGGCTCATTAACTGAGAGCCCTAGGTTCTGAAGTGGGAGCCCTGATAACACCCCGTTTTCAGGCTTGACACGTGTCTGACGTGTCATTTTGCTTCTTTCTGACTCCGCTCTGATCCTTTCCCAGGGAAGCATGGTTAGAACAGGAAGGAGGGTAGGGTTGAGATAGTAAGACACCAATAACATCGGGTTTGCCACCAGAAAGCAGGGAAAGAACCACAGCCAGAACCCCATGGGACTGTCCTCTCCCCCTCTGGCAGAAAGCATACCATCTCAGCAAAGGAACACTGTCATCAGGGCTTGGCCCAAGCCTCCCTGGAAGCCTCTCAAATTCCCTTTGGGGAAGCCAGGGCTGCTGGAATTCCAGGGCTTGCCCAACAGGAGTTTTGGGGCATTGTTCTAGAACGGAGGCCTTGGCCAGTGTCAAAAACTGAGCTTCTTTAGCAAATTTATCTTTAAATGATTGCCACCATTTATGGAGCATGTGCTTTGTGCCAGGCACTACGATAATCCTTTGCACACTAATTAAACATTCATCAAGAATTATGTGCTAATGTTGTCCCCATTTTACAGATGAGGAAACTGAGGCACAGAGAGGTTCATGTGGTTTATCTGAGGTCACACAGAGGGGAAGTAGTCGAGCTGGAATTTGAACCCAGGCATCTCTGACTCTGGGGTCCCAGTAACTAACCACTGTGCTATTCTTACCACATCATCAGGCTAGCTGGGGCCATATGATAAGACATGGAAGGCAAGGCAGGGAACCCAACTATTCTGTTCTAGAATGCTCAAGCTAGAATCAGCTCAGTCCACAGAGACCTCTCTAACTTTACCCCCAGAGGCAGCCCACCTGCCATGTACAGTCAGCAGCCTTGGCCATGGCTGATTGGATGAGAGACAGCCCCTGACATAAGCCATACTTATTGTGTACCAGGCTCTGAGAATTCACTAGTGAACAAAACAGGCAAAAAAAAAAATAATAATAATCTCTCTCAAAAAAAAATCTCGACTCTCAGTAATCTTACAATCTAACAGGGAGATATATAATAGCCAGACTAATTAGGTAAACTATAAACTGATATCTGGTGGTAAATGCTACGACAGGAAAAGGGTGAGAGCAGTTTTGCTTTTAAGCATTTACCCTTCTTACCCATATTCCTCACTTCAAAAGGCTGAGGCCCATTGCTGGGTGAAGTGAACACACACATACACTCCTGCCTGGACAACCCCCCACCCTTGATATATCTTTTAAAAAGCAAAACAAGAATTCAGCCCTATAAGCAGGCCCCTTTAGCAATCTTGAGTAAGCAGAGTAAGCAGACAGAGGGTGGAGCATGAAGCTGACACCAGTGGTTTGTCATCTGTTAGCAGCACGCCCCATCCCACCCTGAGTAAAATTATCAGCGGAGGCCAACCAAAGCCACCAACTTCCCCTTACCATCCAAGAACCTTGAGAACACCTCACCCAGTATGTGGGTGGGGAGATAAATGGGCACCCGGGTACCTATATCAGTTGTAAGCAATTGGCAAAGGCTGCCACTGGCAGAAGGGCCTGGAGGTGGTGGCTGCAGAGGAGGAGGTCCATTTGAGGTCCTGGTCTTGGAGGACCCTCCAGTGGCCTGGCATCCTGACAGCCAGTTTTTCATCTATGCCAAGAGGCCCCAGATACACATACCCACAGCCACAGTCCCCCACACTTCCCCCACCTCTTTGCAGGATCCCCCCACATACAGCTCACTCCCTCTCTAGCTGGGACCGTCGCTCATTGACTTTGTCACTCTCTGACACACGTGTCACCCAGCTTCTCATACATGTGTAAAAAAATCTCTGCCCTCCAAACACTATTTTTTCTCTTCTCTTTACCATTAATGAAACATGAAGTGTCACCGGGGTCTAGGCTGGGGAGCGTACATGCATCTTTTCACCTATTGCTTGCAACAGTCCTTTGAGATAAGACTGTCACGTCCTCTACTCAACAAAGCGAGTGAACAGGGGGCTCAGAGAGATGAAGCATCATGCCCAGGACCCAGAGCAGGCAAGCAGGGAGCTGGGATGAAGCCCCAGTTCCTCGAGTCCAGACCCACCAGGTTAACCTCTGCTGCCTCCCTCTCATGCTGTCTCCCTCGTTCAGGATCCGTTCCTGCCATTCTCTTATATAAACTCATTTCAAATGTGCTACTTGACATATTGTCCCTAGACACTCTCCTCCTTACCTCTTTCTCAGCTGTACATTCTGTTGTTCTACAGTGCTTCTAGAACATATTTCTACGTTAGCCCAGATGCCCTGTGCTCACAACCATGGGCCCCCAGGCTCCAGTGACAACCTCCCACCACCCTCTGTAAGGCACTCCCAACTGTCAAGCCCCCACCCTGGCCAGTCCCCAACCCATTTTCTCTCCTCCTCCCTGAGGTCTCCCACCTTGTGCCACAAGGACTCCAGTTCTGCCAGGTGAGTGGCAACCCCACCCCGAGGTAGTCTACTCCACCCCATTATAGCCTGCTGGCCCCCAGGCCTCGGGGGCTTTCCAGGTGCATGGGAAGCCTCACCCAATTCGCTCCTGCTCCATCTCTTCCATTTTCTCAGCTCGAGCAATCACTCTGTTGATGATTTCCTTCTCCTCATCTGTCAGCTCTTCCTGTTTCCTCTGTCTGTCGGGCTGACTGCTGGGATGGACAGACCAGCCTGCCTGGAGCCTGAAAGGTAATACAAGGAGGTGTGAGGTTGCTAAGAAGCCCAGAAGGAAGCAGAGAGTGGTGCTTAGGCTCTGGTCCTGGGGGCTGGTAAACCTCAGTTCAAATCCCTGATGGGAAACTCACCAGCTGGGAGACGAGCCTCAGTTTGCTCATCTGTGCAATGGGACACACTTTCCTCCTTCGTAGGATTCTGATGAGTTTATTTCTACTAAGTGCTTAGCACAAGGTAGACACTCAGTGAGTAGCATTTCCAGGAAGCTTCTGAGAACCCAGAGAGTAAGGGAGTTCTCAGAAAAAAAATCTAGAACAGGAGACTCTACAGCCAGAGCGGAAACAATTCTGGGAGGGTGGCTGGAAGCCCTGGGTCCCAGACTGACCCAGCTCCTGCCTGGCACAGATGCTTTGTTTGGACCACAAATGATTTCTTTCATAATTTGGAACTAATTGCCAACTGGGTTTACAAAAAGCTCTTAATTTCACAAAAACATCCAGATCTCCAGCCTCAAAAGCTCCCATAGCATTTTGTGTTCCACCCTATGCTTTTCCTGGCTTTTCTTTTCTTTTCTTTTTTAAAGCAAACACTGACATAGCACCTACTGGGTGCTCCCATGACCTCATGTAATCCTCACATGGTCCCTACATTGGAGGATTGTTATGGCCTGCTTACTGGTGAGGAGACTCAGATAAGGAGAAATGAGTCCACTTGCCCAAAGTGACGTGTTTGGGAAGTGGCAGATGTGGAATTCAGAGCAGGGCAGGCTGCACACTTAATCTTCACGATATGGAGGGAACTAACGGCATCTCCCACTGCCCAGGGCATGCCCACAGAGCCCTGGTGGCGGCACAGCAGATCAAAGGCTTCCGGGTGGAGAGCCGACACTGTGGTCTATGGCAAATTATCATCCTCTCTGCTAATAAGCTGCTCCATGCCCCTCGGCAGGGAGGTACCCCCCTGAATGGAACACAAGGTTAAACACCACTAGAAATTCTTGTCCCTGTTGGGGAAAAAAATTAGTAAGTAGGAATCCTCCAGAGCCAGCACCCCATTAGCTGCCAGCCTCTATTATTTCCACTGCTCTAATCACATCAGCAGGCATGAAATTGCCTTTTGACACTAGAAGTTGGAAATTAAAAGCCTCATCTTCCTCCCTCCCTCTGCTTCTCTTGCATCCTCCCACCCTTAGCTGGTTTGCTCTGAAGAGCAGAGAAGAAAGAGTCCAAAAGCAAAGACAAGCAGATTCTGGGGACAAGCCTTGCTCTGACAAAGGGAAGGAAGGTGGGGCCTGGGGAAATTCTCATGGAAACACACCTTGTCTTGCAGTGGGGACCTCTGGGGATGAGCAACTGTTAAACTCGCCTGGATAACTCTGCTCAAAACCTTCTGATGGTTTCTCACTGATTTAGAACAACACCCAGAACTACATAGGGATAGTGGGTGCATGACACTGTGAATCTGATAAATGCCATTGAATCATACACTTTAAAATGGTTAATGTTATGCTACTGTGTGGATTTTACCCTAACAAGATAAAACCTGCTTTAAAAGATTTTGCCCATCTGAAAAATCCTACCCAATGTGTCCTTAACCTCTCCCTCCTTATGGCTTTCCCTTATCCCTACAATCAGCTGCACTGGCCTCTCTGCTCAGTCCAGAATGCTGAAACCTTGTTCTTGCCTCAGGGCCTTTGCACTTGCTGTTCCCCCCTACCAGGAACATTTATTTCCCCAGATCTTTCCATGACCAGCTCCTTCTCATCTTTCAGGCCTTGGCTCAAACAGCGGCTCCTCAAAGAGGCCTTCCTCCATCTCCCACTGCCCAGACTGACTTTCCTCATGGCACCCATCACTAATTGAAATTACCTTTGGAAAAATGTCTGTTGTTTACCTGTTTATCGCATCTCCCCCCATTGACCACAATGTTGGTTCCAGGAGGGCAGGGGCCTTGTCTGGATCTAGGCATGACAGTGTCAGTTGTATTTAGAATAGTGTCTGAGAGTAAGCAAACACAGAATGTTTTTGAATAAGACAGGGTCCCCTTTGGCCCAAAGGGACTGTTAAATGTCTAATTGTAAGTGTGACCCATAGGGAGAGAGACCCAAGCAACCTGGTCAGTCTAGGGGACCAAGGACAACCCCCTGGGGAAGCAACATCCATCTTAAAACCCTGACAAGGATCTTCTGTGATGCCGGCAATGCTTATATTTGAGACCATTTATTTGCACAGGCACCTTCTCAGACTGCAGGAAGGGTATTAGCCGTGGTGGAGTGATTGAAAAATTTGCAAAAGCAAGGCATTTCTGTGTTATCTTAAAGAGGGCCCCCCAAAATTATATAACCTATGGGCCTGCAGCAGAGCTAGAGTCCCTGCAAAGATCCCAGAGGTAAGCTGAAATCCGTGAGGGGACAGCAGAGGAAGAGACCAGGTCTGGAGGAGGGAATAAGTGGTCTTTCAGGAGGGAATAAAAGGCCTGGAGTTGCGAACGCAGGTAGAATGCTTGGGGAATGTGGAAGCCAATGTGGTAGCCTGCAAGATGGTTCCCCAGGACCCCTGCCTCCTGGTAGTCCCACTGACTAGCGGCTGGTCCTGTGTGACTAGTGAAATACAATGGAAGTGGCAGTGTGTGGCTTCCAAGGCTGGGTCATAAAAGACACTGCTGCTTCCGCCTTGTCTTGGGTCATTCGCCCTGGGGGAAGCCAGGTGCTGTGTCACAAGGACGTGCAAACATCCCCAGTGGAGAAGCCCACATGCAGGGGAATGGAGGCCCTACAGTCATAGCCAGCAACCAACTAGATTGCTACGTGGTGATCCTCCAGCCCCTGGCGAGTTCTGGGATGCTTGCAGCCCAGCTGGCACGTGACTACAGCTGCATGAGCAACCCTGTGCCAGAAGCAGCTAGCTCTGACACCCTCAAATTCCCACCAACAGAAACTGTGAGATGTGATAAGTGATCTCTGTTGTCTTAAGCCACTCAGTTTGAGGTGATTTGCTCTGCAGCATTAGCTGCCTGGAAAAACGCAGGTGAAGGATAGAAACCGCAGCATGAAGGCCCATCTACAGCATCAGGATACGTTTTCTATTGCTGCATAATGAGTTATTACAAATTCATGGACTTCAAACAACACACATGTATTATCTCATGGTTTCCACGTCTGTCCAGGCATGGCTGAACTGGGTCCTGTGCTTGGCGTCTCACAAGGCTGCAATCAGATGTTGGCTGGGCTGTGTTCTCATCTGGAGGCTTGACTGGGGAAAATTCTGCTTCTGGGCAAATTTGGGTTGTTGGCAGAATCCATTTCCTTGCATCTGCATAACCAAGGGCCTGGCTTTTTGTTAGCTGTTGTCAGAGGCCACCCCCAGGGTCCTGGAGGCAATCTGCAATTCCTAACTAGGTGGGCTTCTCCAATGTCATCCTGTGGGCTGCTTGCTTCATCAAGTATACCAGGTGACTTTAGCTCCTGTCAACTGTGAGAGTCTTATATAACATAATGTAATCATGAGAGTGATACCCTGTCCCTTTGCTGTGTTCTATAGGTTAGGAATAGGTCCCAGCTTTTCTAATCCCAAGATAAGGGGATTACACAAAGTCATAGATACTAGGAGGTAGAGACCATTGTCTATCTGCCTTGCTTGAATGCTCCCCACGGTGGAGACCTCACTCTCTTATATGGAGCCTGTGATGTTCTGTCAAAAAGATCTTCCTAAGATGTGCTAACATCACTTAGCCTGATATTTCTTCTCATTATTTTTAAAGGATACACTGGACTCCAGCATAATGAAGACAACCCATCCTTCCCAAAGAGCCTTAGTCACAACCTAATTCAGCCACCTCCCCAGGTCCCTCTGACTTTCCATGGAAATGGAAATGTCTCAACTTCCCCCATTCTTACCTCCTTGGTCCCCACTTTTCTTCTTCTCTTCTGGTTCCTCTCTGCTTATTTCCTGCCTTTACAAAGCAACTCAGTGATCAAAGCAGAGCACAGGTGAGATGCTGGGCTGTGTGCCCGGTAAGGACCCCTTCAAGGACATGTTCCTGCAGCTCACAATCTGGTCACAGACAGGGTCAGCCATGGACTGGATATGAAACAAATACCTCTTACCCCAACACAAACTCGTTGGGATCCATGGGCATAGGAAACGGGTGCTGCTGAACATACCTGGCTCCAGAATCATAAGCGGGGATGGAGGCCTCTGAGAGGGCCCACCTGAGATAATTGCCTCCATCTGCAGACAAGCAGAAGGTCTGCTGGAGGCTGCCAGCATCTCTCCAAACCCTTCCCCCATTCTTAGCTCCAAAATATGCAGTTGACAAACAGCTCATCCAGTGTTTGAAAATGTCACCGATTGGTCTCAGTGGGGACTCGCAAGCCTCCTGTGGATTTTCATGCTTTAATTCCAAAAGCAAACAGAGGGAAATGAGGTGGTGTTTCAAACCAAAGCCTTTGCTCTCAAGGAGAGATTGGGCCTGTCTGGGTCTCCTCATGATATGCTGGGGAATACTGTGAGCCTGGGACCCTCGAGAATGCTCCTATGATAGGACGTGGCTCCCTTGAAAAGGGCCTCTGGGTACAGGATTCCAGCTCTGGATCTTTAAGACCAGAGTCCAATGTTAGGAACTGATCAAAGACCAAAGCTGGAGAGCAAAGTACTGCTTCTTTGAAAAAACTACTCACAGCATTGTATCCAAGCCAGAAAAGATCCAGAGGGCCACTGCATGCCAATGGAAGCCCTCTTTGACCTAGCAGAGTTTAAGATCGTAATCCTGGGTCTGTTGCATATAAATAGGGTGCATACTAGGGCTCTGCACTGCTCTGAATATCAGCTTCTAGATCTATTAAATGGGAATGGTTTCATTTCTGTTTCTTGCTGGGACCCTCAGAGGCTACTCTGGACCTTCAAAGGCTGCATGAAGAAAGACCCCTGGTTTACTGGCTGAGATAAGAGTGAAGAACTTAGCCGGTCTCCACTTTTATCCATAGGCTTAAGACAACACTTCCTGGAGAAACATTGCAGGATGTCTGTCTTCTGTTACCCCAAAACTGTTCTTGGCAGTTCCTTGGAGGAGTCTTAAGGGCTGCAGGGGAGTGGGGGAAAGAGGGCCAGAGTAGGCAGTAAATCAGGCCTTCCATCCTCACTCAGCTGGGTTCTCAACACTAGCAAAACAGAAATATCAGTCAAAAAAACCAAAGAAACAAATTTTTAAAGAATTTAATATTTCATAAAAGCACAAAATATGGTTTACTGCATTGATGACCTCAATAATTCACTCCCCCAAGTATCCATGCTCTTTGCCATGTGAATTTGGAATCCCCCTCACCAAAGAGTCAGTCTATTTCCCTACCTGTGAATCCTTCCCAGACCTATGACTTGCTCCAGCCAATAAGATGCAGGGGAGTGATGATGTGCCACTCCTGAGGCTGAATTTGCAAAAAGACTTGTGTGTTTCTGCTTCCTCTCTTGCACATCCACCATGGGCATGACAACAAGCCCAGGACAGTGTGCTGGAGGATGAGAAGCATGTGGAGCAGAGCAGAGTCATTCCAGCCATGGCCATCCTAGATCAGCCAAAACTTTGATGCATAAGACCCATGCAAGACCAGCAGGGCCACCAGCCAAGCCCAGAATCCTGAGAATAAATAACTGTTGTTCTATGTCACTGAGTTTTAAGATGGTTTGTCACACAGCAAAAGCTAACTGATACATTATCTGCTATGGCAACCACACAAAAATGGTGAAACCTGTTAGAGTCTCTACATTTATTTTACAGTTTGGCGTTATTTGAAATGACCAGTTGCATAAACTTCACTATAATATGTTGAATGCTTTCAGCCACTAACAGTCTTTATCCAGCTCTCCTCTTATCTGTCTTACATATTTAGCTTCTGAATTAAACTTACTCAAAGAAAGAATTTTGCCCCTAACAAAAAGTTTAAAGATCACTGCAGCAGACCTGCTCATTTTCTAGATGACGGATGCTCCGAAGAGAGAAGGGAATTGTTGAGAAACATGCGTGAGTCAGAGACTCAAGAAACTGGCATCCTGGCCATGCTTCATTGGCCACCTAAATATATCTGCTCAGGTGCGTCTGGAGAGGGTCAGAAGGATCCCTCCCACCACAGCCAGGATCCATGGCTCCGTGAAGAAGGAGATCCGTCCTGACTCCTGGTGGAAGTCCCTCACAGGTGTCGCTCCCTAAAACACTGGAAAGGCCAGACTCCCACCTCCTTTTGGCCTCCCACCTTGATTCTTCATTTCATGCACACAATAGTCACATAATAAATACCCACCAGATGTCTCTATTAATAAATTATAATTCCCAAAAGGAGTGGGATGATGGAAGTGCTGTCGGGGCACGAAGGCTCTGAAGCATTAAATAGCAGCAGTGTGCAGAAAATTAATCCTTTTTCTTTCCTTTCTTCTTCTCCACCCCCCCTTTCCCCCAGGATGCCAACATAGGCAGGTGTCAGCAGGAAGTCTCTTTACAGCTCAGTGAATGAGGTTTTAATGAATCTGGGAGGGAAGGATGGGGAAGGAGGGGCTGCTACACCACACAATAGTTTACATATGCTTTGCTGGCATAAAGGTTCTTTTGGATGAAATTTACCCCTATGCAACTAAAGGCGGTGCAGGAGGGATGCTGTGGCCCCTGTGCTCTCATAGAATGCTAAGGGGATCTCAGGCTCTTGCTAATCATTTAAGTCAGGCTGAGTTCTTCTCAGTTCTTCTAAATTTGCACACTACCTCTCATATTTGGACTTTGCACATGCTGTTCCCTACTTGGAACTCCTCTGTCTCTTCTCCATCTTGCTACTTTGTCACCTGGTCCCAGTTTACATGTCACTTCTTCCAGGAACTTTCCCATCATGACCGCCAAGTCTGGCTAGGTGCTTCTCCTTGTGTTTCCATGGCCCACTGTGATTCTGCTATCACAGTGACTTGCACACTTGTGTATTTGTTGCTGGCCGGCTGTTTATTTGTTTTTAGACTCCACTAGATACATACACTCTGGCTATTCCTGTATTCCTGGTGCTTGGCACAGTGTTTGATATGTGGTTGGTCCTTGGTGAGTAGTGTCAATGAAGGAAAGAAGGGGGGAGGGAAGGGGTGAAGGAAGAAGGGAAAGAGAATGAACATACACTCTACCTTTTGACTTCCAGCACTCAGGTAGCCTCCAAGAGCCTTGGTACCCTCTGGAGTCACAAACTTACCTTGTAATGTTCATATTTATGATCTGGCAATGTCTCAGCATCTCTCCCTGGATGTCTGACTACTATACTCATGATATTCATAAAAAACTGATCTTGTCTGGCCAGAGTCTTACCAGCCAACAACAGAGATTGTAGAACATTCAAATGGTCTTTAGTCATCAGCTTGTTCAAATCCCCCATTTGACAGATAGGGAGGGTGGGTCAGAGTCAGGGAAAGAATCACCCCAGATCACCTAGATAAGTGTTAATCAGTGTTAAGGAAACCTTTAAGGATTCTGGGCCTGATGATGTGGTCACCTGGGTTCAAAAAAGCTGAAATTATGCAAGTAATATATATATATATATTTAAAAAATGTATATTATACACACATGTTACATATATAATATATGCAGGCATTAATATATATTATAATACAAGGTATATATAATGTATATATACAACATGTATGTGTGTGTATGCAAACACACAATGTATATATACACAAAGGTAAGGCAAGGTTGTAAGTCATATATGCTTCCGACTTTGCTTGGTGATTTACAGTTTACAAAGCTTTCCTGTGCATCTCATACGATCCTACCACCACCTGAAGAGGGAGGAAGGGCAGGGTAGTAATACCACTTTACAAAGGAAGGAGCCAGGATTCAAGGCAATGAAGGGCATGGCTCTGGGCCACACTGAAAGAGTACCAGCGCAGGACCCAGACCTGGGTTTTCTGATGCCAGACCTGGTGCTTTACTGCTGGCTCTGTGATAACTTCCCCATCTTAGGAAGGGTAAAAATGGCTTTCCAGAGCTTCTCAGTGTGCACACACAACCAAAGCCGGACCTGCTCTGCAGCTTGACTGTTCATTTATTGGTACAGCATCCAATCTGTCATGCATATTGAGGAAATGAATCCAATTTTTTTTTATGAATCCAATTTAAAACACAAATGTTGTAAGCAGAGACAGGACCTCTGCGTCAAAGGCACTTCACTGGGAAACCAGAATGACCTCCCACGAGGTGACAGAGATCATATGTGTGGCACATAACTTCCCACAGGCTCTGTTCCATTTCTTGTCACCTTTTATTAACGATAGCAGTTATGTGAGCTAACATTGTCTTTAGCTGAGAACATTGTTCCAAGGTAAATGCTGCAGAAGTGGGCACAAAGTGGTCAATAAATTTGCTGGGATCCCACAAATTACGAGGATGAAATTGAGGGCTCTCCTAAGTAATGCTTTTCCATCCTTTACCAAGATCATTCTTCGAAATATTATATTTTTTTTCCCTCAAGAAACTTGTTTTTTGGTTTTGGGGATTTTTTTTTTTTTTTTTAGAAATGTAAAACTCGCTAGTTCCTTTGTTTAACCAGCTCTCTTTAGAGCCAAAGCTAATTTGATCAGAAAAGTGATAAAATTCAGTTTGTAAAAAAATCAAAGTATCAAAATACTCACTGTTCTTTATCACTGAAGGAAGGCAAAGAAAGGAGAGAGAGAGAAAAAAAATGAATAAAGTTAGGAAAGACATCTCTTAACAATGCCAACACTGTCTGGATGCAACAAACATAGAGTGTAAATTGCAATGACTTACTTCCGGTTTGGTTCCCCCAACACCTCCCCGCCCCCCGCCCCAGTCATTATTATCTTATTTCAGCACATCTGAAAAAGGCTGCTGCAATGTAGGGCTGTAAACTCCTCAGCTCTGATTAAAATGACCAGTCAGTTCAGCTGATTACTTAACTGAGTTGATCGTTTATATATCTGAATAATGGATTTTGGGTACTGAAGAGAAATCACCTAATGATAGCTTGGCCAACATCATCCTGGGGAATAAGGAAGACATGGAGGGGAGGGCCATGAACCCCAAACAGTCAGCAGGTCATTCATTTGCAGCGCCCCAGTTTGGGAAAGCAAGTTCTCCAACTCTAGAAAGGAGACCAGCATCTCCATTAATTAGGTGAGCAATCATAGATGTGTCATGGCCGCCCTTTGTGCCTCAGTGTCTGCTCCGGACCCCTGGTACTCTGTGCCTTGCAGACTTGAAAGCTATAGAGAAATAGCAACTTTCAGGCAACAGCATTTCTCCCCATCTATTCCCAACACAGGGAGCTGAGCAACTGCCTTACCTAAGCAAGAAGCAGATGCGTTCCCATCTTTTAAACACAATCACAATTGTGTTTTCAAACACTGTCATTAGATTCAAGGAGGCTGAGAGAGGAAGGTATTTGAAAATCACAAAAGCATTTGAAAATCACAAAAATGGTAAATGTCTCTGGCTGGCCAGCAGTTAATTAAGACTAGATTTCTTAATTTACTGGAGAAAGACATTAGAAGCATCTGCATTAGCTGTAGCAGACTAGCTAGCATGTGTGATGACTATAATTCACCCATTAGCATTTATTTGAAAAATAATTTTAATATCTCAAGGAAACACAGGAGCAAACAAGGCAGCCGGATGCACGCAGAATACAAGATGTTTCATAGGAGCCCAGGAGCACTTTAATGAAACCGCGTCCAGACTGTTTGAATAATTCTAATTTAATTGTAGGGCAAATTGTTTGGCTTCATATTGACTAAAGTAAACTCTGATGGATGGAATTTTTAATTAACTGACATTTCTTAAATAAAATAAATATTTTACCCCCATCCACCCTTCAGGCAACTGTTTATCTTACAGAGAAACAATTTTGGGTTGATGGAATACTCTCTGCAAAGTAAGTTTGGCTCCAAGAGTACACCATGGGAAGGGCTTGGCAGCCTAGAAGTTTCCTCCTGACAAGGAAGCCAACAGAGTTCCATGGTGCCTTCCAAACTGTAAAATCATAGAACTGGAGGTTTTCGATGGAAGTAAGCAGACAGGGGCTTTTGCTTCAGAGAATATAGGTGGACTAAATATTCAGAAAGACACTTTACCAGTATATAACTAAGTCCTAGGTAAATTAGAGCAGACCCTTAAAAAAAAGATTTATTTAATTATTAGAGAGAGAGAGCATGAACAGGAGGGGCAGAGGGAGAAAGATTCCCAAGCAGACTCTGCGCTGAGCATGGAGCCAGACTTGGGGTTGGATCTCAGGACCTTGAGTTCACAACATGAGTCGAAACCAAGAGACTGATGCCCAATGGACTGCACCACTCAGGCGCCCCAGGGCAAAACCTTTTTAAATGTAGTTCTGAGATTGCTAGAAAGTGAGGGAATTCTTCAACACTGCCTCTCCTTGCCAAACTGAATGAAACAGACTTTTTCAAAATAAAGACTTTTCCTCTTCAAAAGATTCTGCTAAGAAAAAGAAAAGGCGCATCATAGACCAAGAGAAAAGATGTGCAAAATGTGTATCCAAAAAAAGGATGTTCATCTATAACATATGAAAGAAAAACTTGTACAATTTAACAAGAAAGGAATGACCTGATTTTAAAATGGACAAAAGGTTTGAACAGATATTTCAACAAAGAGGTGATATGAATGGCAAATGTTATATAAGATGTTCAGCGTTATTAGCAGGGAAATGCAAATGAAAGCCACAGAGAAATGCCACTTGCCCACCCACCAGAATGGTTAATGCTGGAAAGACTGATCATATCAAGTGCTGGGGAGGAGGCAGAGAAGCTGGAACTTTCATATACCTTCTGGTGGGAATGTAAAATGGCACCACCAACTTGGAAAACAGTCTGGCTGCTTTGTGAGAAGTCCAGCATATACCTATCATGCAAGTATGACAGTCTGCTTCCAAGTAACTACCCAAGAGAGGGGTGCCTGGGTGGTTCAGTCAGCTGAGCACCTGCATTAAGCTCAGGTCATGATCCTAATAGGGTCCTGGGATCGAGTCCCATTACGGGCTCCCTGCTCAGTGGGGAGTCTGCTTCTCACTCTCCCTCTGCTCCTCCCTACTGCTCATGCTCTCTCTCTCTGTCTCTCTCAAATAAATCAATAAAATCCTTTTTTTTTAAAAAAAAGGAATTACTCAGGAGAAAGGAAAGCATCTCTATAGGAGGTTTTATTAGTACTGGCCCCAAACTGGAAACAGCCCAGAGTCCATCAGTAGACAAACAGATAAACGGACTGTAGTATATCCATGCAATGAAAGAGAATTCAGCAATACAAAGGAATTAACAATTGCTATGCAAAACAGTATGGATGTTTTGGAACAATAAGGATGGATCATGAAGTAAACTACGCTGAGAAAAAGAAAAGAGACATCTCTTCCCCCCAAAAGAGCTTGCACTATAAGATTCCATTTATATGAAATTCTGGAAAGTGCAAACTAATGTATAGTTACAAAAGACCAGCAATTACCTAGATATGGGCGGGGGAGGAGGTGGAGGAAGAGGCACGTGGGAGCTTTTGGGATGGGTGGATTTGTTCTTCATCTTGACTGCTGAGACAGCTTCATGGGTATACACATGTGTTTTTACAATTATCAAATTGTACTTAAGGTTGTACTGTTCAAGGTACATATTTATGCCTTTGTAAGGCAATTTTTTGAAAAGGAAAAAGAAGATCCAGCAAACAGAACCCTGGACAGTGAACTGCGAGCAGTAAGTCCAAGGCAAATACCAGCACTGTGTTCCAGAGTCTGATCTGAAGCTCAATCTGAGACCCCAACATTAAGCCAGGACCCTCTGAAGGAGCTAATGTTACTCTGGGTGAGTGGCACTCCTGACTCCTGGCAGGAGCAAGAGTGCCAATCCCTCTGAAGAAAAATATCCCCGACATAGATTCCCAGGATTCTCACAGATGGAGTTCGCAATAAAATTATCAAGCGTTCAAAGAAACAAGCCATTTTGAGTGAAAATCTACAGGAATGATAAACAGCAGACTTAGATTGCCAGCACTACAGGCAATGGCGTGCTGGTAAACTTTTAACAATTGATGATTTAACAATGGGAAAAAGCCCCACTGAATGTAAAAGTAGGAAGCAGCAGTGTATCATTATATATACAGTATAATATACATAACACGGAGAACACCAAAACGTTGTAAAATAATTAAGTGATTAATTTTGAGTACTTATATCCTTTATGTTTAATATAATTTAATGGCAGAATTACAAACTCAATTTTTCAGAATGGCTGTGTTTAATAACCGGGCTGCAAAATGCCTGAAAATGTATCAGCTCTCATGAGCTAGAATGGTACAGATCCAATGTGTCACTGATTCGGGTATGATAATCACTGGATTATTCTGTAATTGAAGTTATGTTTATGTCACACTGCCCAATTTTTAAATAACCAGGCTGAAAACAAATAGTAAGAAAACACTTCTGCAAGTCAGAGTCAGCTGATGGCCTGCCAGTTTGTACCCTGTGACCTAGTCCAACTTCCTTATTTGATTGATAAGAAAACTGAGGCCCAGAGAGGGGCAAAGACTCACCTGTGATCACACAGTAAATGAGCTCAGACCTAGAAGCAGAGCCAAGCCTGATTCTAACCAGCAGGTCAGTGCTCTTATCATTACACCATGACACCCCTCTAATATGGGACATGCAGCTCAGAATTTCATCTTATTATATCAACCTTCAGAGCAGCAAAGTCAGCAAAGTTTCTGTGACGATACCCCCACCAGGGCAGTTTTTTCCCCACTCCCAGGAAGGAAATTCTATTTTTTTTTATTGGCTACTCTTTTCTTCCTTCAAGTGTAGAACCATAGGGACTTTCTGACTCCACATAAGCCACTCCCAGGAAGATGCAGCCACTTACTTTGACTGAAGAGGTCGGTCACTGGGACACATCCAACGGTTAGAGTTGTTGCTAAATACAGTGTCAGTCATGGCTGAAATTCAGTGCTCCTGGAAAATAGGAACCCAGAGAGGACATCACTCAGTTAGTTACCTAGCTGCTCTTTATTTCTCAAGTCCCTACTCTATGCCAAGCACTCTAGGGGATGCAGAGAAGAAAGGGAACTACACCCAGCTTCTCTACTTCCTAGATGGGGAAAACTCAGGCCCCCAGATGGAAATTCCTACTGAACATCACAGCTTCCCTGGTGGCAGAAAGGGATCAGAATGGAGAGCCTGCTTCCTTAACTGCACATTCTTCTCATTTACTAACCCAAGGCAATGTGTCTAGCAAGGGAAGGGTCATCAGAGTTCTTAATTCCTGTCCAGGGTCTTCCTACTGGGGGATGTCATTGGATTCATTTCCTAGTCAACCTGGCTTGGTGAACTTTGGGATCCGAAACCCTGGAGTCAATCCTGGCCTTATTTTTTTTTTAATACTTTTTAACGCCCAAGTCATCAGAAAATCATGTTGGGTTGATCTTCATAATAGACCCAGAATCTGCCTATACTATTCTCTGCCTGGCTCGCTGCGATGCTGATCCAAACCACTACTATCTGCTCCTGCTCCTCTTCACGGATCCTGCTGCTTCTACCCTTGGCCATCTTCAGTCCATGCTCTACACAGCAGCCAGGATCTTCACAAACATAACTCACAGCTTATAAAAACAGCACCTCCACAGTTAAACACAGAACTACCAGGTAACCCAGCAATTCCACACCTATCTACCCACCCAAGAGAAATGAAAGCATGTGTCCACACAAAAATTTGTATGCAAATGCTCATAGCATTTCATAATATTCATAATACCCAAGAGATAGAAAAGACTCAATATTCACCAACTGATGAATGGACAAACAAGATGCAGTGTATCTATGCAATGGAAAGTCATATAGCCATAAAAAGGAAATAAAGCATTGACAGCTGCCACCCAGAGGAACCTCTGAAACATGATGCCAAGTGAAAGAAGCCAGTCACAAAAGGTCACATAGTACATGATTTCCTTTATAAGAAATGTCCAGAATAGGCAAGTCCATATTTTGATTGCCAGCAGCTGGGGGAGGGGAAGGGAGCTGGAGGTGATGGCTATGGGGTATGGGTTTCTTTTGGGGGGGAATGGGAATGTTCTAAAATTCATTGTGATGATGGTTGCACAACTGTATGAAGATACTTAAAAGCCGCTAAACTGTCTGCTTTAAAGGGGTGAATTATAGGATATATGAACTCTATCTTAGTGAAGTTAGGGGAAGGGAGATGGTACCACCACTTTGGAAAACTGGCAGGCCCATTAAAGCTATAAACATTCATCTACCCTACAGTTCACGAATTCTACTCTTAGGTATATACCCAAGAGGAGAATGACCACGTTCTAAAACACGTACAAAAATGTTCGTAACTTTTTTATTCATAACAGCTAAAAACTAGAAACCATCCAAATGTCCATCAGTAGGAGAGTAGATAGATAAATGTGGTCTGTACACACAGTGGAATACTGGTCCACGATAAAAGACAAACTTCTGGTGTATCTAACAGTGGGGATGAATCTCGCAGACATTATGTTTTATGAAAGAAGCCAGCAGCAAAAGAGGACACTCTATTTAATGGTGTTTACATGAAAATTAAGAACAGACAAAGCTATTTGAAGGTTGTAGAAATCGGAGCAAATCCACCGCTAACTTTGGGGAGGGTATTGTCTGGGAAGAGGCAGGAGGGGGCATCTGTAGGGTAATAATGTTCTGTATCTTGATCTGGGTGACACATACATCTACAAAAGCCATGTGTACACTTTCTGTCCCTTCCCTCACCCCTAATAAGGTAAATCAGCCCCTGTCACTCTGATTTCCTTTTCTTCATAGCTCACATCCCTGCCCAAATGTATTATATGTCTTGTTTGTTTGCTTAGAGTCTGCGTCTCTCATCTCTAAAACGTGAGCGCCTAGCAGAACGCATTCTGTTCTGTTCTCTCTTAATCTCCCACACCTCACACAGCACCTGGCACATAGAAGGCATTTCATAAATATTTGTTGAATGCATGCATGAGCCTCCCTCAGCACTAAGGCAGTCAGCTGAACTGAGCCCAGCTTCTGGCTCTGCGAAGCTCTCCGCCTTGCCTCTCCTGCAAAAAGTAAAGGGGAGAGACCAGGGAGACTACATTTAGTTAATTACGAAAACCCCAGAAGCTTCAGAAGGTGGATCACTGCATCCAGTGGGTCCTGATTTCCCTGAAGGTTTTAGTACAACCTGGCCTTGTTTTCTGGGATGCTGAATAGTTAGTTGGAGAAGCCGGGAGGTGAACAGGGACAGTACTCTCCCTCCTATCGTGCAGTTGGAGGGGTTATTAAATCTTCGAGGGGCTGAGGGCTGCACACGTGGGAGGGGAATTTCTTATAGAAAAGCCATTTCAGGGATCCCTGGGTGGCGCAGCGGTTTAGCGCCTGACTTTAGCCCAGGGCGCGATCCTGGAGACCCGGGATCGAGTCCCACGTCCGGCTCCCGGTGCATGGAGTCTGCTTCTCCCTCTGCCTATGTCTCTGCCTCTCTCTCTCTCTGTGTGACTATCATAAATAAATAAAAATTTAATAAAAGAAAAGAAAAGCCATTTCATCTGCTCCCCTGTGGTTGATGTAATCTTCCCAGAGTCATACAATCATTTCACTGTTTCTGCTTGGAAAATAGAAAGAAAGGAGGGACTCCTATGGGCGCTGAGAGCCTCAGGCCCAGGTTGTCCCAGGTGATGGGCTTCCTCGGCTGCCCCTGGACTGGACTCAGAACTTTCATTTGGATACCCTGCCTCCTGCTTTGCAGCAGAGATAAAGCTGCCCTCAGAGAGGGGGGGTGGTCCCAGGAAGCAAGGAGGGCTGGGGCAAGGGTTACACAGTCCCCTTCCATGAACTCTGATCTCCAAATTCTGCTGCCCTTAAGGTGGAAGCTGGCTGCCCACCCTCTCCAGCATCCAGTCGTGCACACCAGGAGTTCATTTCCTATTAAAATTCTGCCTGCAAAGAGCAAGAGCGCTGGCTGACAGCCTTGTGGAAAGCAACCGACTCCACCCTCCAAGCCAGAAGCCACCCTGGACAGTACGGGTTATTTCAGCTTGGCCGTCCAGGGTTCTCAAGGCACTTCACATCTCAGGTGCCAGTCCAGTGGGTGCCCCAGTCAACTGGGCCTGGGCCAGGAGAGTGAATACCTGAGTCATTGAGGCATTGAACACCAGCGGAGTGAGCCCAGAGAAGGGAGGTCATGTGTCCACAGGCAGGCCCTCACTGAGGGGTAGGGAAGGGGGAAGGAAGAGGGGAGGGCTAGCAGGTACCACTGATGTCCTTTACAGGAGGGGCGCATGCTAGCATGCTCCAGAGCTCTCCATGGGATCCGGCTGAGGCCACATCCCCCACTGCCCTATACTGCTTCCCTGTCCTAGAAATCCCATCACAGGTTCTGCTTCTAGAGAACTTGACCTCATGTGAGAGAAGAAGGGAGACTTTTGGGACAGTGACGTTCTGATCCCTGAGTTCATCACGCTGGGCAAGCCACTTAATCACCTTCTAATCTGATAGGAGATGATCCTAAGAAGTTCTCCTACCTGCCCATAGACGATGCTCCATTAAGTCCAGCCAAGATGTCAGGTTTGAGTTAATAGAAGGGGAGAAAAATCCAATGGTAAGCCTCTGACATTTTCAGATGCCCCCCGTGCCTCCTACTGTGTGCTACAGAGAAGCCATTGCCACAGTGGACAGGAGGCCTGCAGCCCCACAGAGGAGCAGCAGAGGGAAACCCACCATTGATATCAGGAGCAAAGTAGAGATGCATGTGTCAGATAATTTATACAGGATTCCGCCCTAGGACCCACAGAACCTTGGTGTCACCACGCTGGTGAGTTTAAGCACCTACCACGGTCCCTGACATGCTGTGAGCACTTGCAGAATGGGAACTCCTCTTTCCTACTTCCCCTAGACTATATAGTTTATCCAACAATGATGAGTAACATTTATTGAGTGTCAACTATGTGCAAAATTCCATGCCTTCACCATTTGCTTTAATGGTAAGTGATAATATCTTCATTTTACAGGTAAGAAACTGAGGCTTAGACTGATGAAGCCACTTGCTTAATAAATTACACAGCTACCAACAAAGCAGAGCCAGGATTTGAACTCTCTCCAAAGCCCATGTGCTAATCACTACTCTGCTCGTACCTACAGAACATTCCCCCTTGGTTTTAGATTGTTCAATCCTGATGAGTGTTTGGTGACCATCAGCCCCTGACTGTATTCCCACCTCTCAGCCTCAGAAACAAGTAGAGACGTGCCCACCCAGCCCCCGGCCCTGGAGATGCTGAGAAAATCACACATTTCAGCTCAGTCAGGCCAAAGTCATGGCTCAGATCCAGGCCTGCAGCTTCAAGTTCAGAAAGGGTAAAATCACTGCCTCACCAGAAGCCAGAGGCTCCTGCTCTTTTTCCTGGACACAGATGGCCTCCCAGTCCTGGAGCAAGTTCCAAGGAACAATCTGCTTTCCATCACAAAAGCAACAACAGCAAAAAAAAAAAAAAAAAAGAGCAACAACAGCAATAATTGACAGTTCCCATGTCAAGGGCTTGCTACATGCTAAGTGCCTCTCAAGTTTTATCTTGTTCAGTTCTCAGGACAGCCTTTGACGTAGATGTTCTTATCCCCATTTTACAGATGAGAAACTGAATCATGGAAAGTTAAAGTGGGCTTCCCAAGGTCCTGCTTAAAAGCATTTCTATTTAGTAATCTGAATGCCTGAAACTAAGTGCTGGTTTGAGGGCGGTGCACCTGTGGATGGGGGAGTACTACACAGCTGGAAAGAATAAAGAGATTATTTATGACAGATACGGATGCATCACTAAGATGAACTGCCTGGTATAAAGACCAAGAGGCAGGATGACGTTCCAGAACAACACCACTTTTTGCACAAGGGAAGGCAGGATACATGCACAAAGTATCTCTGTAGAGAACTAGCATGAAGCAGAGAACATTGCTTGCCTCTGGGG